CCATTACATCCCCATGACTTGTTTATTTTTTTAAGATTTTATTTATTTATTCATGAAAGACAAAGAGACAGAGAGAGAGAGAGGCAGAGACACAGGCAGAGGGAGAAGCAGGCTCCATGCAGGGAGCCCAATGTGGGACTCGATCCCAGGACCCCGTGATCATGCCCTGAGCAGAAGGCAGACACTCAACCACCTGAGCCACCAGGTACCCCGACTTAATTATTTTATAACTGGAATTTTGTACCTTCTGACAACTTTTACCAGTTTTGCCTACTCTCCAAACCCTGCCTCTGGTAACCACCAATCTATTCCGTGCCTATGACTTTGATTTTGTTTGTTTTAGAATCCTATATAAATGGGATCATATGGTGTTTGTCCTTCTCTGACTTATTTCACTTAGCATAATGTCTTAACGTCCATCCATTTGTTGCAAATGGCAAGATTTATTTTTCTTTCTGGCTGAATAATATTCCACTGTGGTTATCTATCTATGTATCTACCTACCTACATCAGTATATCTCATATATATAGTACATGATCTCTCTCTATATATGTATTTATATAAGTATTATATTATGTTATATATAATATAGAGAGATATAGAAAATGTGAGATATATGTATCATACATTAATGATCCATATGGACATCCATATATATCCACTCCTCCACCAACGGACACTTTGGTTGCTTCCATATCTTGGTTATTGTAAATAATGCTTCAATAAACATGAGAGTGCATCTATTTTTTGATTAGTGTTTTCATTTTCTTTGGACAAACACCCAGAAGTAGATTTGCTTCATCAACTTATAGTTCTAATTTCAATTTTTAAAGGCACCTCCACGCTGTTTTCCACAGTGGCTACAGCCATTTACCTTCCCACCAACAGTGCACTAGGGTTCCCCCTTCTCCATATCCTCACCAACACTTGTTATTTCTTGTCTTTCTGATAATAGCCATTCTCACATGTATGATGTAATAGCTCATGTGGTTTTGATTTGAATTGCCCTAATGATCGGTGATGTTGAGCACTTTTCATGTACCTACTGGCCATTTTTATGTCTTCTTTGGAAAAATGTCTATTCAGATCCTCTGCCCATTGTTTTTATTGTTCTTCTGTTCAGTTGTATGGGTTCTTTATATATTTTGGATATTAGCCCCTTATCAGATACATGATTTGCAGATATTTTCTCCCACTCAGCAGGCTGCTTTAAAGTAATACTGATAAAAAAGAGTGGGGCGCAAACCTCCACGGAGCATGCAGGGAGCATAAGGATGCCGGCTTTTGTAAGCAAGCCCAGACTGCACCAATAGACTCTAGTTCTTGGAGGGTGGGGGTGGTGTCCTTGTCCCTTTGTGTTCTCTCCAGTGCCCAGAGATCGCAGGGAAGCAGTGGCCAGTAGACAGATGATGGGCTTTGGCACCGGACAGGTTCTTGAGTCCTGCCTCTGGCACTTCTACAATCTGTGCTTTTGCTTCTTCATCTGCAAAAGGGATGTCGTTGTTCATCTCATCGGAAAAAAATTTGCACCAAGAAAGGAGACTCAGGTTGTTTTTTGTTTTCTGTTTTTTTTTTTTAAGTAAGTGGTGTGTTATTCAGACAAAATATGAGTTACGATGCTGTTGCCCTTAGACACCCAATCCCTTCTCCCTGACCGAGATGTTCTTGCCTGACGGTCCAGGGAGACTATTTAGAATGGTTTCTTTATGCAGATATTTTTTAAAAAGTACATCCCAGTTCCTACTGTAGTATCTAGATTCAGGAGTGGCTAGTTGAAGTTGCCTATGCCAGCTCTCAACTTTCGGGTGCCTGTGCGCATGTGTAGGGAGTATAGTTTACTCGTTAAGCCTACAGCTTACTAGGGAACTACATCGTCTAGGCTGGAAACCTGGTTTTGTTACTAACTAGGCAGATTCTTTAACTTTTCCTGGCCTCAGTTTCCTCAGTTGTAAAATGAGGCCAGTCTTATCACATAGGGTTATTATGAGGATGAATAAGACAGTCTGTGCAGCATACCTAGAGTAGAAGCAGGTGGAGAATAAATACGGTTATCATTCGAGGAATTTTAAGTCCACTTACATTCCCATTGGTGATATGTTGTAAATTCCTTAATCTTGGTTGTAAAATCTTTCATCTTTTTAGGAGCTCTGCTGTAGGTCTTATGGTTGCTCTGCTGAGCAGGAATTCTTGTGGTTTCTATTATAACCATATGCTGTCTTTTTAAATGCACCATGTCTTTGGTCCATACATACTTGCTGTAATCTAGCCTTTTCTGAAGAGCCAGAGAGAAGGCTTTTTTCCCCATTAAAAACGTCTATATAGTGTTTACTATGGGCCAGACAGTTCTGGGTACTGGGGCATTGTGGTGAATGATATGTCCCCTGCAAGGGAACTACACACCAGAGTACTAAACTGGCCAGGACCTACCCTAGATGTACCTATGTAGAATGGAGTTTCATTCATGTTACAGATTCAGACAAAGAGTGCATTTTATACTTCCATCTCAATATAGAAGTTGCCCATGGGATGTGATGAAAATGTCCGAGTTTCCTTCTCTCATCCTTTAGCAATATATTTCACCTTTTGAACAAAGCAAAAGAGTAATATTTAGCATATCAGATAATAAACACTCCTGAAATTACATTGTATTCTCGACAGATAGCATCTTTTTTGGATTAAGTTGGTAAAATATACACAATGATTTATCCTGAGAAGTGGCACAGGTTGAAAAATAGAAACATGTTCAAGAAAAATAAACAGAGGAAAATTAACGCAATGGATGATTGGGGGTAACTTAGAAGAGCTGAGAATATATATATACCCGGTGTGGCAGGCTAATGCCCCCCAATATTTGTTCACATCCTAATCCTCATATGGAAAGAAGTCTTTGCAGATGTGATTATGTGAAGGATTTTGAGGTGGGGAGATTACCCCGAGTTACCTGGGTGGATCCTGAATGGGATCACATGTACCTTCAGTAAGAGGGGTGCAGGTGGAGATCTGAGCTAGACCCAGAGGAGAAGGTGATGTGGAGATGGAGCAGAGAGATTTAAAGAGGCTGGTCTGGGGATCCCTGGGTGGCGCAGCGGTTTGGCGCCTGCCTTTGGCCCAGGGCGCGATCCTGGAGACCCAGGATCAAATCCCACATCGGGCTCCTGGTGCATGGAGCCTGCTTCTCCCTCTGCCTGTGTTGTGTCTCTGCCTCTCTCTCTCTCTCTTTCTGTGGCTATCATAAATAAATAAAAATTAAAAAAAATTAAAAAAAAGATTAGTGTTACATTAAAAAAAAATAAAGAGGCTGGTCTGGAAGACTGGAGTGATGTGGCCACAAGCCTATGCATGCTGGCAGCCACCAGAAGCTGGAAGAGGCAAGGAACGACTCTACCCTAGAGCCTCCAGAGGGAGCGTGCCCCTGCTGACGCCTTGATCTTGGTCCAGGGATGCTGTGGTTGGACTCCTGGCCTCTAGAACTGCAAGAGAGTCCATTTCTGGTATTTGGAGCTACACAGTTTATGGTAATTTCTGGTATTTGGAGCTACACAGTTTATGGTAACTTGTTACAAGAGCCGCAGGAAGCTAACACACCCAGTCATTTCAGATTAAGGCTAGAAAGACAAGCACCTACGACTCTGTCATCCATGTCTTGGGATCATGTTATCCAGTATGTGTCTAGTATATGTCACCGTCTTGCTTTCTAACTTGATGTCCCTTTATCTTCCTTTGCATTTTATTGAATGCCAGATAGCAGCATAGAGCTTTTAAATTTTTTTTTTTTACTCTTAGGTCTGTGTCTTAATTGAAGATGGAATGATGGCATCTCTCTTTTTGAAGGTATCCCAGAAAATTTTAAGGCATGGATTGTGTTGCAAGGAAGGCATTGATTTAGGTGAGAGATGGAAACTCTGATGTCTGCTTTGATCCACAGCAGAGTACACTATTTTTGTAACATGCATGGGAGCATCTCCCAGATCTTGGGTCTCTTTCCCTTGAAAGACTGCAGAAAAAAAGCAAACGCTTGAGGTTTGATTGCTTTTTATTTTTTTTTCTTATACGCTCTGTGCTGGCCCTGTCATATTTTAAGGGCTTGATAAGTTTTTTCTTTCCTTTAAAGTTTTTTTTTTTTTAAGTTTTTTCTTTTAAAAAAGATTTTATTTATTCTTGAGAGAGAGAGAGAGACAGAGACACAGGCAGCGGGAGAAGCAGGCTCCATGCAGGGAGCCCGATGCGGGACTCGACCGGATCCGGGCCGGGACCCTGGGGTCACGCCCTGAGCCCGACCCTGGCTGACTTGGTCACCGGCTACACTACCCCTTCGCAGTCAGGTCCTAACACGGCAACGCCGTACGCGTCCATTTATTTATTTATTTATTTATTTATTTATTTATTTATTTATTCATTCATTCATTCATTTATTTATTTATTTGAATTTTTATTTACTTAGGATAGTCAGAGAGAGAGAGAGAGAGACAGAGAGAGAGAGACAGAGAGAGAGAGAGAGGCGGAGACACAGGCAGCGGGAGGAGCAGGCTCCATGCACCCGGAGCCCGACGCGGGACTCGATCCCGGGTCCCCAGGATCGCGCCCTGGGCCCAAGGCAGGCGCCAAACCGCCGCGCCACCCGGGGATCCCCCGCGTCCTATCTTCTTAGGACCCAACTCCCGGGGCACACCTGCCGCTAATCCGGGGTCTCTTCCCCGGGAGGGTCCCCCCCGCGGAGGCCCGACGCCGTCTACACTTTGACGCTCCCGGACTTCGCCGTCGGGGCGCAGGGTCACCCGCCCGGGGGTGCCGGGGCCCGGGCCTTCCTCCGACCCCGACCTCCCTCCGCAGCGGGCGGCGCAGCCTGCCCGGCGCCCTCCGCTTCCTGCCCCGGGGTCTGCCCCGCCGCTCGGGCCGCCCCACAGTCGGGCTCCACCGGGACGAGGCCGCGCAGCACCCAGGGCGGGGCCCCCGCGCTCCAGCCTTCGGGGCGCCGCGGCCGGGCCGGGGGAGCTGAGCCGGGAAGGCCGCGTGGTCACCCGGCGGGGCCCGCCGCTCAGCCAAGGCGCGGAGTCTCCCGGGAACTTGGCGTCGCGCAGAGCTGCGACCTCGGGGCGCGGGGTCCCCGGCAGGGCGGCCGGGCCGGCGCGGGTCCGAGGGCGGCGGCGCGGGGTCCCCGGGGTCTCGGCGGGTCCGAGGGCGGCGGCGGCGGGGGTCCCCGGGGTCTCAGCGGGTCCGAGGGCGGCGGCGCGGGGTCCCCGGGGTCTCGGCGGGGCGGGTCCGAGGGCGGCGGCGCGGGGTCCCCGGGGTCTCAGCGGGTCCGAGGGCGGCGGCGGGGGTCCCCGGGGTCTCAGCGGGTCCGAGGGCGGCGGCGCGGGGTCCCCGGGGTCTCGGCGGGGCGGGTCCGAGGGCGGCGGCGCGGGGTCCCCGGGGTCTCAGCGGGTCCGAGGGCGGCGGCGCGGGGTCCCCGGGGTCTCAGCGGGTCCGAGGGCGGCGGCGCGGGGTCCCCGGGGTCTCGGCGGGTCCGAGGGCGGCGGCGGCGGGGGTCCCCGGGGTCTCAGCGGGTCCGAGGGCGGCGGCGCGGGGTCCCCGGGGTCTCGGCGGGGCGGGTCCGAGGGCGGCGGCGCGGGGTCCCCGGGGTCTCGGCGGGGCGGGTCCGAGGGCGGCGGCGCGGGGTCCCCGGGGTCTCGGCGGGTCCGAGGGCGGCGGCGGCGGGGGTCCCCGGGGTCTCGGCGGGGCGGGTCCGAGGGCGGCGGCGGCGGGGGTCCCCGGGGTCTCGGCGGGTCCGAGGGCGGCGGCGGCGCGGGCTCGCGGGCTCCCGGCGCCGCCCGACGTCACTTCCGACCGGAGCCAAGATGGCGTCGGCGCGGCCGCGGACGCCGGGGCGGGCGGAGCGGCGGCAGCGGCGGCGCGGGCGGCGGCTGTCGGCGCTGTGAGGCGCGGGGCGCGGCGGGCGCAGGTAAGGGGCGGCGGGGGCGGCGGGGGCGGCGGGGGCGGCGGGGCCGGGCGGGCTCCGGGACCGCGGCGGGGTGGGCGCCGGGACGCCCGTCCCTGCCCGCGAGGAGCGAGGCGGCGGCGGCGGCGGGGGCGACCCGCGGGGACCGGGCGGGCGGACGCGCCCCCTTCCGAGCGCCCGGGCGGGCGGGGGTCGGTCCGGGAGCCGGGCTCGGGGCCGCCGCCGCCGCCAAGTTGTGCGGGGCGCTTTGTGGCGGTTGGGTCGCCGCGCGCCCGGCGGGGGGAGGGGCGGGGGGTCGGGCGGGGTCGGGGTCGGGTCGGGGTCGGGTCGGGGTCGGGGCCGGGGCGGCGGCGGGTCCCGGGGCGCAGGGGGCGCGTCCCGGGGCCGCCAGTGTGGGGCAGCCGCCGCGCTCCGCTCTTTTGTGGCGGGCACTTGGCATTCCCGACGCGTCGCGTGTCTTCGCGTCTTTTGTGTTTATTCCCCAAGAGTTGCGCGTTCCGAGGCTGGAGGTGGCCCCCGCTCGGCGTCCCCGTCGCGGGCCCCCGGGGTTTTGCTCGCGCGTGGCCGCCGCGCCCTCGCGGACTCCCCCCTTGCTACTGGGGCCGGCGCGCCCCGAAGCTTCCCTGCCTGCCGGGCTTGGGGGGGGGGACCCCAGCCCGCGCTTCCTCGCGACCCCGCTGACCCCGGCTGGGCCCTCGCGTCGGGCCCCGTGGGGCGGGGGAGCCCCGATTCCTGGACGCAGCTGCAATTCCCCCGAGAAAGGGCTTTTATGCTGTGCCCCCGCCCCCCCCCCCCAGCCTTCCATTCAGGGTCGTGCTGGGGTTTTGGTTTTACTTGGTTAGTTTTATTTCAGGCGCCCCTGGGGGAGTTCCCAGGCGGCCTTCGGGCCCTGCCATCGGACGCTGAAACGGTCGCACCCACGACGCGGCTGAAATCTCTCCAAGTTTTTGTCGACTGCGGGTTTGATCGTTAAAAGCAACGATAAACGTCGGACGCAAAGCGCAGCCTCTCGGTGAATCTCTTTCTCTCTTTTTTTTTTTTTTTTTAAAACCTCCCAGACCAGGCTTCCCGCCCACTCCGTCGGTTGTGGCCGAGTATTGGGAAAACGTAGGCCTTTCCACATTTTTTTTTTTTTTTTTTTTTTAAAAAGCACGCTAGGAAATTTGTCGTGCACATATCGAGGAGGGACCGGGACACACAATCGTGTTCTTTCTCGGAGGGTTTTGTCGTTGAGACGGCTTGCAGCTGCCCCATCGTTCTCGAGGAGAGGCTGCCCTGCACTCGCTCGCTCGCTCAACCGTTTTCATCACGCGTAGGCTCTCATTGTGGCCTTGAGAGGACCTTTCGAGATCCTCTTATGAAACACCCTCCCTCCAGTCCGTAGAAGCTGAGATGGAGATTCTTGGGGGAGCCTAAGGCTGATTGGCAGCTTCCCTTACTCCAGGGCTCTTTTCTTCCTTACCTTTTTTTTTTTTTGTTTGTTTGTTTGTTTGCTTGTTTGATTTAAATAAGTGACTACGTCCCAAGTGTGTAGAAAGACACCGGGCGCACGACAATGACGCTCAATGAGAGTTTGCCTTTGTCGATGCTGAAGGTGGCTTTGACTGGAAAGTCGGCATATTCAGATGTCTTTTTTTCTTCTCCTCTTGTGGACAGTTCCTGAAACAGTACGATTTGAATTTCATTGTAATGATTTGTTTTGTGAGCACACATCATAAGAAACGGCTCTCAGAGTAGGACAATATGAAAATAGAGAAGAGCACGGAGAAGGAGGGGAGATGAGCTCTAATCTTCCCACTCGTCAGATAACCCCTGTTAACGTTTTGGCAGACCTCCGTCGCCTTCCTGTCTTTCTTGTGCATGTGTGTATTCCTTGTATATATTTATTCACGTCTGTGTATTTGTATTTTATACGAGATTGGCAGTACGTTGTGTGTATTATTCATAACCTGTGTTGGGAGCACATATTCATGCCATTAAATATTCTTCAATATAATTTTTAGTGGCTGTGTAATATTTGAGTGGGCCATAATTTATCAATTCCATATTGATCAGTAAAGCTTCTGTAGCCTGAGATTCTCATTTCATGGAGATTCGTTTAGATTTTTCCATTGTGAATTTTAAAGTTTTGTGATTTTTTTTTAAGACAATATGTGAAAATGTTAATTCTGTCTTTTAGCCTCTAAATATGTATTTTCCCTGCCGATGCAGTTATAAGAAGCAGCAGTCGATTTCAGCTTCCTTTTATTCTCTCCTCCCTGAGCCGGGTCTGTGCAGTTGCATAGGTATATCTGCACTCATATTCTTTTGATGATTATTTTACGTTAGATGTTTATTTATTCATGGGACTGTTTTCTTTAAGCTGCCGATCTCTTTTCAAGTTACAGAACTGATTTACAAACCTTTTAAATCCTGTTAAATCGTAGACTTTCCGGGACGGAAAGCACCTTAGGTTATTTACTATTTTCATGTCTTCCAACTTGCTTTTCATGCTATCTTTGGTAACCCAGGCAGAGAAAAAAAAAAGCCCGTGGGCTGCACGAGAAAACTCCATAGTGGGAGTGAAAAGGGAGTAGTAGTAGTAGGTGGACGGTGGGGGGAAAACTCAAACTTGTGTGGCAGTGCGTAGATACTGGGAGTTTCCAGATGCTGGGGACATCACCTGACAGTCATTACTCTTGACACTGCTGACGTGTGGCCAGCACTTTGTGGTTTGTGTGGTGCCCGTCGGTGACACTGTCACTCCTCATAGCATTTGGTTAGAGGTCTGGCTCTCTCCTTTTGAAGTTAGAACTTTGTCATTGGAGCTGGTAAAACCATCTTCCTAGAGCGACCAAAAGCTACAGGTTCCATTACTGAGAGCGTTACTTAGGTTCCATGAAACAGGACTTCTTAACCTGGGCAGGGTTGACACGTGGGGCTGGATAATTGTCTGTTTAGGGGGCTGTCCTGTACGCTCTAGGGTATTTTTTTTTTTTATTTATGATAGTCACACACAGAGAGAGAGTATTTATTTATGATAGTCATACAGAGAAAGAGAGGCAGAGACACAGGCAGAGGGAGAAGCAGGCTCCATGCACCGGGAGCCCGACGTGGGATTCGATCCCTGGTCTCCAGGATCACGCCCTGGGCCAAAGGCAGGCGCCAAACCGCTGCGCCACCCAGGGATCCCCGCTCTAGGGTATTTGGCAGCATCCCTGGTCTCTACCTGTGAGATGCCAGTAACACGCCCCGCAGCCTGAATAACTGATAAGAGTCTCCCGATGTTTCCAGATGTCCCTTGGTGGGGACCCAGTCCTCAAGCACTGCATTAAAGGAAGGGAGGCCCATCTGACCGGATGGTGGAGTCACTGAAATAAGTTTGAAATAAGTTTGTGGAATCTGTTTAGTCAAAGAACTATAAGAAGAGAGTCTGGTTTCCTTGAAGTCCACCTTGGGAACAGGGAATGGACCTAAGTGGCCTGTGGCAGTCCCTGGGTGTGTCTTTATGATCATACCCCATAAATGACTAGGGATCGTCTAGTCCCTACTTTCTACTTTCAGCAAGTCTGTGGCAAGAGATAAAGCAATTTGAGATAACCTGGAGACTCTGAAGGAGTTTTCATGACATAGATCAACATTCCCTGTATGTAGATTAAACTATTATGGATTTAAATAAATTTGTATAGAGTTCAAGCATGGTGACTCATGTAAGCTTGTGGTCTGTTATACTTGAATAGCATAGAAACATCTGTTTTCTAGAAGATGAGACTCATTTGAAGCAACCCCCTTAAAGATTGATGGTAGAGGCCAGACTAGATTTTCTAAGATTCTTTTTTTTTTTACAACCAATTCAGGGTTATGCACCGAAAGTGGTGAATTTGTCCTGAGGAAATAGTTTACTTTTGAAGTGCTTACCTAACTTTAGCTTATTCTTTATAACTTAAAGATCGATACTGATTTTCTTGGCATACATGCATCCCGAATGCGACTTCCCGTGGGAGAAGACTGCAAAGATTGCATGCTTTAAAAGTATGGATAGTGTAGATTGAATTTTTACTGTGGCATAAGTGATCTTCAGGTAGAACTTAAGGGAAGAGATGTGGTGCTGTTGGACCACGTTTGGTAATGGGGTGGCTCTCTCAACTATGGAATAATTTCCTGCATAATTTCACTGGAATGAATGCATGTGCCATTTAAATATTCTTTCTTAAAGAGAATGCCTTTCATTCCCCACCCCCACTTCCCTGAAGCATGAATTAGTCATTGTATGTAGTAAATCTGGCTCATTTGGAGTGAAATACGCTTATAATATTTTTCTCAGTACTGCATAGTACTTAGAGCCTTGGTTCAAGTCATACTTAGGCTGTGTTTCATTTATTAGTCTTTTGGAACATGCAATAAAGGAGGTTTCACTGAATTACTTATGTATTTGCCAGCCATTTTGGTGAAAAGAATATTTTGTAGCTCTTGCAATAAATCATCTGATGGGCTTTGCTTTGAAAGAGCTAAATTACTTCTTGGCACAGCTTGCCTGAAATATGTAAAGCTAAGTGCAACTGTTAGTTTGATTACTGTGGGCAGCCTGTCTGGGAATTGGTAAAACCTACAGCTTTTACATGTGCATATAAGTAGTTCCACTAAGACTACATTAAACTCTGGTGGGAAAACTCTGTGGCATTTTCAAGTAATTTAAATGGTGCTGTTAAAATTCGAAAAGAAATCTGAGATTCACCAAACCCTTACATACTTAGGTATGAATCCTGCGCATTACCCAAGGGGTTATTAAGACAGTATAAATCAAGCATAGTTTGGAGAAAGAGTGTAAGTATGATATTCTTAACGTTTCTCACTGTGAGGCTGATTTTAGGGACTTTGCTATAATTCTGAAAGGCCTTAGTTTCAAAGTACATCTGAAAGGAGGATTTTTAAGAAGGGGGGTGGGTCTCTGGGACAAGTTTAGATTTTTAATGGTGAAACTGCTGCCCTGTGTTAGAGGACGTTGAGCTAGTCAGTTTCCCTGT